TTGGTTTTTTGTGCATTGCGTGCACCCAGCAAAAGTTGCGCATTTATCCGACTCCAGTCAGCACGAATCGATACTTGTCTTGTTCTGCAGTCGTTCGCTCATTATGTAATGCATGTTTAACACAAAACAATCGACAATTTATCCAGTGAGCTTTGCACAATAATTATTTTCGGCACACTAAGTACGCGTGTGCGTCCGTATCCATTCCATCACACATATCTGTCGAAAAGGAGTAGGGTTCATAACCATTCGCACGAATCTGCAACACTGCTATTAAGGAACAATGAGAGACAAGTGTTTGCATTTTCTCTCGTGGTCTAAACACGAGCTTACAAAGCAGACGGTAACAAGGAAGATTACACAATACCAAGGAAGTACCTCAAACTTCAGTTTTCGTTCGAATTGAGTGGAATATACAGGGTGAGCCACATGATGACAAGGTTGGGTATCCCGGAGGCCCGCTGCGCAACGAAGTCAGAGACGCAGGCGCGAAAGAGGACGAGTCGCTCCTCATTTTGTAGCGGCCAGACATCAAGTTCAATATAGCGCATTACAATACGTCTCACACCATTCACGCCACGGCGTGGGCTCAGATATGCGTTGCATTGCAGATATCGCGTCTTTGAGCCCACGCCGTGCAGTGAGTGCGTGGAACGTACTGTAATGCGTTATGTTTGAAGATGACGCTAACCGCCACAGCATGCGGTGCGACTCGTCCTCTGCCACCGCCTGCTCTCTGAGGTTTCGCTCGACGGGCCTCCTGGAGGTATGCGACAGTGTTGGAATCCGATACGCCGCGGTTGCCAGAGATCTGAGCATGGATCACGGCAAAAATCGTGTCGTTGTGAATGGCTACGTCTTTACGCTCCTCCCCTCTTCACTGGCGTTATTCAGAACGTCCCATTATTATCCTCCGCATCCAATTTATTAGCAAAAAATGTTACTTTACATGCAGACAGGCAGAGCCGCCGCTATGCTAATGCTCTGCAGTTCGAATTCTAAACCTAATTCTGTACAGACTAGGGAAATTG